AATTCTCGCACCCCCACATCACCCAACAAAAATAAGACTTCTTTTTCTCCTCGAGTAATTATCGCACCTCCAAAAATTGACGCAATAATGTCGTCTGGTCGTTCCAGCCACTGATGATAATAGCGCGCGTCATCTGGCGCCATCTCTTAAGCATCAATCGTACTATTACTGCACGGAGATTCAATCCAATTCAAGCTAAGCCAAAGTGGCAAGTGGGCGTTGCGGCGTGTTTTGTATGTTGTGTTGGTAATCTTGTCACGTTGTGGGGCAATACTGAAGCTACACGGCTGCTTTCAAGTTGAAAGTGATAGATCATACACTAAACAAGGACAACAGGGCTGCCAGTACCCTAACAGGGCCCTTCGGAGTCTTCGAGTTTTGTGTTCACTACTGGTGACGGCAGCTGAAAGCCACCAAGACGCGTTGGGCCTGCCGTGTGCCTAAAACTGGAATTGATCGTAAACTTTATTTCTTCAGAAGGAAACTGCGAACGATTCTATTAAATAGCCATCAGCCCAATACTGACGTCCTACACTTACCTTTTGAGGGCTCCTGTTGTGCGACGAATACTACCGCTACGGCCGGAACACCCACAAGCTTTGCGTATGGTATACTAATTCTCGACTATTTACTTGCACTTTTAGTGTCTCAAATAAATCTTACCTTGTGTTGAACCGGTGCTTTAAATGTTGAGGTAAGTTTTAATTAGTACTTCTCAAAGCTTGCTGTTAGTTGCTGGTGTGAGAATCCCGATTTGCGGCCACTTCGTTTTCTTTTTTGCACTGTACGTTTTCGTGGAAAGTTCTCGCTGCGTAATTCTCGCACCCCCCTACTTTGCATTGGTTTTCCGCCAAAAAAAGCGCGAGGAATATGCGAGTAAATACGGTAATATTACGCCATGGATCCCCTGATGTCATCATCAGTGATCGCGGGCGGCAATTTGTTGCCGATGTAGCTGAAGACCTCCTTCGTCTTGCTTCGTGCCATTTTCGTCACACTACCCCGTATCACCCGCAGGCTATTGATTTGACGGAACGAACTAATAGGACTCTCGTCAACATTATTTCTATGTACGGTATGTTCATTTCAAACACAAAACATGGGACGCCATCTTGCCATTTATAACTTTCGCCTACAACACGGCAAAGCAGGAAACATCGAGATACAGTCCATTTTATCTGCTCTACGTACGCCACCCCCGCATAGCTCTTGACACTATTCTTCCTTTTTCCGAGACTGATCAACCTACTCTCACCGAAAATATTTGTCATGCAGAAGAGGCCCGGCGCATCGCCTCTCTTCGAATTCTTGTCTCCCAGAAACACTCTAAGAAGCGTTCCGACGGAAGTCACTGGTTCGTATTGTTTGAGAAAGGGGATTGCGTGTGGCTTTGGACACCGCTTCGCAAGCGCGGTCTCTGCCAAAAGTTTCTGGCCAACTACACTGATTCGTTTGTTGTCCTGGAACGTCTCAGCGATGTCACGTACGTGATATCTCGGCTGTTGGCAACTGGCCGCCGCTCAAGCAAGACCAACGTCATTTTTGTGCCTGTTTAAAATGCTTTCATCATCGCATTGAAGCCTAACTCGCCCGGTGGGCATCATCTGCAAAGGGGGAATTGCTACGATACTGAAGCGACACGTGGTAGAAGAAGAGAACCAGGTTGGCACGAGCAGTGATCTGCCACATCCCTGGACTCTCGCATTCATCATCTCTTGTAAATAAAGGCATCTCACCGTAACAATATTAAAAACGAAAGAACCGATTTCATTGCCCATTGTTCTGGAAACCTCACGACAATGTAGCACATATATATTGTCATGAACAAGGAAAACATTTCGTGTATGAAAGGTTTGTGCAACAAAAAGTAAACTAATATTGTCTAAAAAAACTTGTAGAGTGAAGAAAAGTACTTTGAAATGTATAAATATGGGACATTTTGTTACATTTCGTACATAATAGTTCTGCAGTTGGAAGTTCAGTGCCGTATGTGTCTCTTCTTTCCTGTGTGCTGTGTTTAAGCGCTGTTTTATATTTTTAACATGGAGCCTCACCAACTCGCCCAATCTGTTTGTCTTATTCACTTGCTACAAAGTCGATAAGTGACTCTGTCTTGAAAATAACTTTTGCTTCTTTTTTTATGCATTTGGGAACTGCGATTATGGAACTCCTGAGCGAGCGAGGCTTATCTTGAACAGCCTGACATAAAAGCTCGCAAACTGTTGTGGTAATTATATAAATAATTTGTGGTAATTAAAGTAAATAGATTATGCTCAGACATTTCTTCCCAGACTAGGCCGTAGAAACATTTTTTTACTACTACATAGTTGTGCATCTACTTTGCTAGTACATACCCTCCGTAAAAATGGGCTATTTTTTTCCTGTGTAGATATAGTCTGCGCATACACATGATTTTTGGTGGCCGAAATGCAATGACAGGTGCGGACCAAGAGATATCTGGTGTCACAAACATCCTCCCTTCGTGAAATGGCCCCAATGCAGGCCTCCGCGATCGCCTACTGGTGTGCGGCAGGTTATTTCAGAGGCCACCGATGACCAGTTCTGAGTTCAATGACTTCCACTGGAGGTCCTGTTCCGACTGGTAAAGACCGTTCACTGTAAATCTCTTGACACTTCGGTGATGCTTTCATTGCGAATAGCGTGGATTATTGAATCTCGTATCGTGTATAGTATAATGTCACATTAAGAAAAATGGCTTGAATCTTCTCATTGATAATGATAAGAATAAATCCTATAAATATCATATTTAATCTTGTCATTGTGGAGTAACATCGGTTACTTCTTTTTTGAGGCAATGTAGGGCGGTATCTTGTTCCTTTCTTGTTTGAGTAATGAATTTAATAACTTTTTTTTTTTCGGTAACGTGTACAACGGTGGTTTTTATGTCTCAGTCAACATGGTCCGTGGAGTGGGATACGGATTTCCTCTATCCTCTTTGTGTTTTTGTTGGCGGTGCACAGGAAGAAAATAGATTGTCGTTCTGCAACACGCTGAGTTCACCACACACTGTGGCCAGTAAGCTTTCCGCTGCGCTAAAGACAATAGCTACCATAACAGTCGGTCCCTTTGAAAAAGTCTTACCAGAGCCACGTTGTGAAAGCTGTCAGATAACGAAGCTTTTGCCACTTTAATTCGGTTCCTTTAAGTCTCCTCTTATGTTTTGTCCTGTGACTTCTAAATCCTATTTTGAGGGCTTCTTCATTCAGCCTGAGTCAGATCTTTAGTTCCAGTTGATGGATCTGGTCGGCGTGGATTGCCCTAACTTGCCTGTCTTTCATTCTTCTAAGTCTCTTCCTGTCACCATCATTTACCTTCTGCCAATTCAGGGATAACTACCCTCTCAATCTACCACTTGAGTTCACTGTCTTACAAAAACACGCTTCATCAAGTGACTCCCATTTGAGACCACTCTTTGATTCACCCACCTTATGACAAATGCTTTTATTGCAAGTTGTTAGCATCATATCTGTTTGTACTAGTGTCATAGCCTATCGCTGCTCGTATTTATGACCACACAGTTTCTTACAGCATTCACCGATGAAAACTGTGGTGCTGCAATCATTCAGCCACTATGAGAATGATGGGAAGAACGTGAATTTGCACATTTTTCATGCTTGAGGCTTCAAACGCACTTAATACTTTGTTTATTGTTGTGTCCTACCTTGTGTTAGATAAACAAGAATGTGTCCTTATGAGCTTCGAGAGCCAGTCTGAATTCGCAAAACTAATTTAAACAATATCTCGGGTTTCATGTGCCAAAACCAAGAGATGATTATGAGAAATGCCGTAGTGAAGTGCTCCGGAAATTTTGACCATCCGGTGTTCTTTAAAGGGACACTAAAGTCAAATAACAATTTACGTCAGAGTGAAAGCTCAATGTATGACAACATCTAAAACGACAATATTATCAATTACATTGCCTTACTTACCCAGAAACTAAGGTAAATGCACAAGAACACATGCGCCGCAGTAGGATGTTCTCAGAATGATCCCGATGACATCAGACGAACCGCCTAAAATTAATCCCTAGTAATCAATATAGTTGCACTAAATAAAGAACCTTCCATGCATCAAAAAATGCAATAAAATGCTGCATGTTCGTTTATGTTTGATTTATGAATATAGGAACCACTGAATGTTACTATGGAGAATGGCGCGAGTTGTTGAAAAATTCAATTTTCGTGTAGGTACACGAGACAAATGGTGCCATCTAGCGGGGCCCAGTTGAACCAAAAAACGTCTGCAATCTTGGAGCTAATTGGGGGAAATTGATCAATGACCATTGTTGCTGCTGTGGCTCTCGCTGCTTTCGGTATGCTGCTACTAGCGCAGTAAATCCGGGCATTAATGTGCGCGGCAACAGTGACATGGGTCGGTCTGGTGGGTCCACTTCTTGAGGCGCCTAATTTGAAGTGCGCCAACCCGATGCGAACCACTAAAACATGGTTTTATTTCCAAATAGGCCCTTCCTTGGCACAAAAGTAATACAATGAGGTTTCTGGACCGCTATTTCTACAATCAACGTCACTGCCTTTAACGTGCACTGACATCGCACAATACATGGGCCTGTACCATTTCGGCTTCATCAAAATGCGACCGCCGTGGCCGGGATCACACCTGCGATATTTGGATCAGCAGCAGACATGGCGAAACTAAGAAAGTCAAGGTGGGGAAGTGAAACTGCTGATTGTTTGCTGAACGTCATCTTGCGATAATGTGGCTGAAGGCCAGACGATGCTGCATCCAGCCAAAAGAACGAAGCTTAGGCAAATTCATGTATGTTGGCTAAATGAATGCTATGCGTTGCAGGGCCGTTAATATTATGTAAGTATTTTTTTACTAGAATCACTTTCACAGGTGACAAAGGCAGCCGGTCCTTCAGTGATGTCAGCTGTTGAAACATGTGGCATCAATAAAACTTTTGAGAGTAACGCCGAACAAAGCGCGTGACTTTCTCAGTGAGAAAGAGCAGTGCACACCTCGTGTTGGCAACCCTTCCGTGCAGCTGTAGACTCCGGCGTAAACTGGGCCACCGCAGCCGCTGGTGCCAACCACGCCACACTGCCTGGATGAGCAGGGCAGCTGCGTGACGCCGCGCCTCGCGCAAGAGCTCCAGTTGTTGCCGGGCATTCTCACTGGAACAGGAACAACATCCAAAACATTGAGTGAGAATTGCCTCAAAATCTTTGGAAATGAAGTGAGAGTACACACAAATCGTAAAAGAGGTTCATCTATGCAGTGCATTGTTGCACTTGAAAAAGACATACTGTCAACAGAGTTAGTGGTGAATCATGTGCGGTAATTATTGACGTGAGGAACGTAATAAAAGAAAATGTTACAGAACATTCGCCTTCGAAAGCAAATCAAGATAGCGTAATTAGGCCTCGTGCGCACAGCCACATGAGCTGCTAGTCTGCTTCAATTCTCAGTGCATGCCTCAACCCTGATGTAAGCAAACGAATGGCTATTATATCATAACATTGGCTGTTTCAAAGTATCATTCAAGGCCTATTGCAAGCACAGTTCTTGAATGCCCACTACCACGCCATAATTATTCCTCTTGCGAATCAACGAAGGGCTCACTGCGCGTCTGTAACATAGAGAAAGAAAAAAGTTGGGAGCAGACACTCCGCGAAATCTGGCCTCAGGAAGTATGTCACGAATACGTAACAAACTGGTACCCTCACCAAATGCAAGAGGATGCAAGTTCGAAAAACAAGGAGTTATGATCAATCTAACGGAATGTTTTTTACAAATTATAATTATACACCCATATTTGGCATGTTTTTTATACATAAAAACAATTTATTCAACACGTCTTACGCTGTTATTTTTGTAAAGTCGCACTGCCATAAACAGCATCCACGAGCCTACTAGCGCGGATGCGCGAACATCCGCTCCCACTCTTGTGAATGTTTTCTATCAGAAACGCCTCTCATCATCAGCGAGGTTTTGTATTATTGAATGCAGTTCTTTCAGAGTACCATGCCGATACCAAGTTTGTGCTGGTGGGTGGTATTTTCGCCATTTTTCGAGACTTTTCGCTCTGACGCTGAGGCAAGGTTGTTTGACGCGTCAAGGCCTAGCTTTTGAATACTACCGTGCACTCGCTACTTCCAAGTATGTCCATGCAAGTATGGTCGAGGGGGAGGACGAGAACCCCGAAGGGTGCCAGAATCGGATGGACTTTTAGATGCGGAGCATCTTATACTCGCGCCTTGTAGTGCGCCGTCCGCGCCGTCTGCACCGCTTCTCAAACATTCGACAGCTGACGCGCGCGCATGCGCCGTCGCGCCGTCGCCCACTCTTCCACCATCTGTGCATCCCTTCCTCCTCTACACACCGCGCGCGCTTCACTCCTCCACCATCTGTGCACCCTTCCTCCTCTACACACCGCGTTCGACATCTACAATTCTCCTGATTCTCCAGTGGACGCGCATGTGGCGTCGCGCTTCGAGAACATTCAACAGCTGACAGTACATGCGCCGTCGTGCTGTATATATACTCAAGGTCGGCGCTCGCTCGCTCAGTTGCCGCTCGTCGGTTGGTTTGTACGGCGCGTCGACGTCCAAGGTCGCGGTGAAATGAATTCCAACGAGTCCACAAACACAGTGATCGACGTCCCTTCGACCAGCGCCGCCCTTTCGCATACATGTGTACGTGTTCACTCATTTAACACCCCCTCCTACAACCACGTTAACCAATTTAGCCATCGACCCAAGTAAGTCGCAATTTAACACCCCATTTCACAACCACGTTAACCAATTTAGCCATCGACCCAAGTAAGTCGCACTTTAACACCCCGTTAACCAATTATATGGTCCGCATCCTCCTCAGTGTTCCCCCGAGGGAAGCTGCGGGCAATTTTTTTGGAAGTGCAAGTCGTAAAGCCAGCACGGAGTCAGCATCGGGGCAAGTTTTACCCAACGCCGCAGCGTACTGAGGAATCAACGCGTCTCCAGAGAATATCGCGAAGTGATGGCAGACATTTGCAAGTCACCCAATTTCTTCTCCCTTTTTCGACTAAAGAATATGCTACCCGTGACAGCCAGTCCCAAGTTGACTGCAAAAAAACTCGTGTTTTGTGAACATTACCTGAGGAAGATGTGCCTCTTGCCCAAAGCCCAATTGACAGTGGCATTGGAGAGCTTGACATTGGCGATTGTCTGGCTGAAGTGCTCCAGGATGAGCTGCAGTGTTAATGTGCAGAATGAGCTGCACATTCTAACCACCTTTATACAGTGTCACATCCGACACCAAAGCACTGTCGGTATAAGCAAAAAATGAGATACCTTTTAGACAAAGAATTGCAGCTAGTTTGGTGTGACATACGATACAAAGACCAAGCACTGGAACAAGCAAGTGCCCTACACTCCGTGAGAACTTACCTGTCGTTGGAGCGAAGGAGGGGATTCCGCAAATTTGTGTTACTACGCAAGTATTATGGCAGCTTGGGCCGATTTTCGTTTCACTCACTCGCAAGCTTAAAAATAGCGTCACACATGGCCATATTTTTATTCCATTGCACTCCGTTCTTCTCGGCTTCAACCAATGATCCTACATACCTTCTTACGTCACCATGTTCCCTCTCTCTTTGAAAGATGCACCGATTAGAAACTATAACAAAATGATGTAGACATTAAAGTAGAAGAATGTCCAAATTCACAGCTTAAAACCCAATGGAGTTTCACAATATCACTAAAACTGCAAGGCCGAGACCAGTCTACAACTATGTTGGGCGAGGTTGACTGCTGTGTTCAGGGCCGTGCGGGCACTGACACATTTGAATGGATACGAACACTTGCACGGATACGGACACTTGAACTCTTTGTGGAGAATGAGAAAGGCTGGAACGCCCATCGGATGTCCTTGGGGTTGTATTTTTTGCCGTGAAGGGTGCACTTTCGTGTTTCTAGTTTTGCGTGCTTTTTTGACAGGTGGTGATGGCGTGATGCCGAAGTGCTTGTGGTAACCGAAGAGTCCTGCGTATTTCTTGGCATTTGGTGTGGTGCTGTAGTCGGTGTCACCATTGGTGCAGAAAGCGTCTATGACGGCGTAGCTTTATGTGAAAACGTCTTACATCTCGAAACGACCTTAAGGCTAAAGATCTTATTGTACAATATTCTTGAAATCGTGAGTGTGCTTCCGTTAAAGTTTTTGTTCAGCGATGCCTTTGTTGCAGTCTCCTGTTGTCGCATAATTTTGTAGAATCACCTTTGCTTGTTCGCTGATGACACTGTGGAAATTGCGAGCTGTCATTATCGCTGAATGAGTATATTATTATTATCTATGGATTCAGTCACCCGACTTTTGTGACTTGGACTTTTGGGAGCCCATCGGCGCATGGGCGTCACCAGCGTCACCAGCTGGCCACTTCTGGCCTGCTATAAAGCTGACAACGAATATTGCTCTCTCCAGTGGGTCTTTCGGCGGCACGATTTTGACTTGGTTGTCTGTCTTGTCTGTCTGCACCATCTTACAGCAACGGCCAAAATACGACTTCTCTTGCTATAGAAAGGAGGATCGATGTCTAGTGCTGCTGCCTGACCCACTCGTGACGGCATTATCATTTTAAATGTGAAGCATTCCTTAGCGAACTTCGGCGACTTTGAGTGAGTGAGTCGGTCAGTCAGTCAGTCAGTCTGTCTGTCTGCCTGTCTTTCTGTCTAGCCGCCTACATCTATACCAAACCTGGTATGGCATAACATGACTGTATGAATAACATATTTGACTAGTTATAACATGAAAATCATTACATATATGTCACTAATGTCATGATTTACATTTCATGGTCCTGTAGCTATTGCGATGATTTCGTTCACATGGCAGGTTGAAAAACTGGTATGGTATGGCATGACTGTATGGCAAACACAAGCGACAGACCCTAACATGAAAATCATGACATGCGTGTCATGTAACAACATGACTACATGCTACGCTCATAATGCGCTCGCGGCCGTTTTGCTAACTTCACTTGTGACAAACTCGGTATTATGCAATGCGAACGGACGACCTAGCTAAATGACACATCCAAACACGATAATCAAGACATGGGTGTCAGGTAACAGCATGACTACATGCCACACTGATGATGCGCTCGCGGCCGTTTCGCTAGTTTCCCATACGCCAAACTTGGTACGTGACGCCAAAGGATGACGAACGTATGTGACTGGAGCAAACATGATAATCATGAAATGCGTGTTATGTGAGAACATGACTACATGCTACAGACAAGGCGCCAATACATTTCGATGTGACGCGGTGCGCATGCTTGCCGGCATTCATTTCATCGCCTCACACCGACGTTGCCACGCCAGGTTCCGGTCCTGCCATATACTCGCAGGCGCACGCCACACTGCGTTACTTTGACGCATGCGAGTTCCTGCGCGTCCGGCGTCCCTCCGTCACGAAAAGAGGGGGATGCAGTGTTCTCTGGGTAACGCATCGGTGCGAAATGCAACATCGGTCGCGCCTGGCATCAGACTATTAGAGTGTTTGCGTTTTGCTAACGTAGCGTCGCTGTGCCCAATGTTTGCGCGCGTTAACGCTACATTGAAGTATACTGGGCCCTTCACGATGCGCTCGCGGCCGTTCGCTAGCTCCACATATGCTAAATTTTGTCTTACTTGACGTCAATGGATGATGAAATATATGACTGGTGCAAACATGATAATCCTGACACGCGTGTCATGTAAGAACATGACAACATACGACGCTCATAGCGTGCTCGTGGTTGTTTCACTAGCTCCACATATACTAAGTTTGGTATCACGTAATGTGAATAGATTGTGAAGGTCACAGACACATCCAAACATGATAATCATGACACGGAAGTCATGTACGGCATCATTTACCTCCACCTCGTAACTTTGTGCTGATTTTAAAGTAACATATCAACATTTCTCATTAGTGCTTCAGATATCATCGATTCCCACTGTACGTAGAATTTTCCAATTTTTTTTTCTTTGTCAGTAGAGTTTTGTTGCTATCATATGGCAATGTTGACAGCAATCCTGGTCCTGACAAGTTAAACAAAGAACTGTTGCAGCTGCTCGTGGACAAGAAAAATTTCGTTCTGAGCTTTCTTCATGGACAGCCAAGTTCACTTCCATTGAAGAAAGGCTAAATAGGTTTGAGGTCTTGGTATTATCAACCAAGGAAGCAATTCCACGTGTTAAACAACTTGAAAAAAATGGTAACTCATCTTGCTAACTTGGTGTCAAAGTTAGACAACCATTCTGACGAACTTGAACACAGGTCCCGTAGAAATAATATTATTGTCTACGGATGGCCTGAACACCATTCTGAGTTTCCTGAGCAGCTGCTTGATTTGTTCATTAGCCTAATGTCTGAAAAACTTGGTCTTGAATGTACCGACATCGAATGATGACACAGGCTTGGAGAGCATAGAGGGCGAAAGCCCTGCTCTGCTATATTTAAATTTTTAGACTACAGATCTAAACTTGCCCTTTTAAAGAATGCCAGAAAGCTAAAGGAGCACAAATATATGTAAATGAGGACTTCTCAGAGCGTGTTAGAAAGATACGCAGCACATTTCAGCTAACCAAAGTGGGAGGTCCCACCTGCGGTTCTTACCTTGGGACCTCCCAGTGAATCTGTACCCATGCACTTTTCCATGTTCACGCTTGATGAATAAAGTATGAAGCACTGAAACCATGTGTAGGGTAGCAAACTGGACGAAAAGTCTAGTTATCTTCCCTACCTTTCCTACATTTCTTCTCTCTCTTTGTTCCTTCAATTTCGCTGTGAAGGAGCATTCCATGGCTGTGGCAGGAATGTCGTTGCAAATTACCGACATGGATATGGATTCGATGATGCGTTCGCTGTCATCAAATTGGCTGCGTACGCGAACCTCGATGACCTTGCATTTTTTCGCGCACGAGGAGGTGTCTGATGCAAATGTGTTCACCGACAAGCAAGCCTCCAGAATAATCTGCGGACCCAACCTCCTCGCCAGATCTTCTTTGATGAAAGTTCACTGGCGGTCTCCGTCTAATATTCCTCTGACGTAAGACGTCTCGTTGTCATCGACGACACAAGTATGAAAGGTCTGCAAACGTTCACATTTTTGATAATTCATTCTGAAGCACAGCTGCTCACCCATACCAGGCAGGTGAACGTGGAATGGAATACCTTACTACCTGCTGATGTGTGTTCAGAGATGCAGCCCAACACTTTTATTCAGCCGCATTAAAACAAAGCATTACGTTTATTTGTTAATAAACTCTCATCTCAACCGATTATGTACAGAGGTGAAGACGGAGTACCACTTTTGCTAACATAGCCTCATTGCAGTTGAGTCGCATAGCACAAGTGTGTTTTGGTAAGGTTGACTTCTAGAAAGACATCTAGTGGTCGGCAATTTCAGCTAGACAACGCTCCTAGCAATAGAATTTTCGTTATATTTTTTCTTTTTATTCGTGTACATCTCCAAGCTAAGGGTTATAAATACTCCGGGAGTCGCTTAAGAAGTACTGTCACGTATTGAACTTATTTTGTCTCTCGTTCACGACACACTACACAAGATTACCGGTGGTTATATTGTAATGTGTCGAAAAAAACACGTTCAAAATGTTTGAAATAAAATAAATAAAAAAAATAAATACGAATAAATAAGAAAGCCACCACTTCTAGTCTGCAGTATGACTTGGCCGCAGCGGGGGCAGCGAAAGCTTGTTCCTCACACGCCTGTGTTCGATTATTTCAGTTGACAACTCAATGGCTGATCATCGTCGGCACATCGTCACATGCTGTGCTGCCCTGCATCGCTGACTGCGTCACACGTTTCGAGAGGCAAGCCCTGACGAAGCAAAAAAGCTACCACCGTGGAGCAACACCAGGGGAACCGTCTTTAAAACCAGTAACAGGGGAGGCCTGCACTTCACTTGGCAGCAGGGGGGGGCAGCGAAAGCTTGTTCCTCACACGCCTGTGTTCGATTATTTCAGGTTTGCATTCATTTTTTTTACATACTAAACAAAGATTATTCTTTTTGCTGCCTTTCTGCTGCCAAAGTGGTGATACATTTCTTGTGTGAAGTATTGCTGTAGTCATGAGTGAATTGACTAAGTTGCGAGAAGAAATGAAAAAGAAGATGATTGAATTCAAATCGTCAGTTGAAAGAGAGCTAAGAAAGGAAATAAGAGACCTGAAAAACAGTGTGAGCTTTTT